GAGCTCCTTCTTAATGTGGTCTTTATGACATTCCCGTTCAGCTCAGATCCAGGCCAGGTGTGCCGGCACGCTTAAGGGGGAGGGGGGCGCTTGCCACGCCAGCCACTTGCGCCCTCACCAGCTTCCGGTCTTGTTGAAGCTGTCTCGACACCGGGTCCAGGAGAGCGAGAGGAACAGAGAGTGAGGTAGATGCATCGAAGGTCTACTCCCACCATAATCCAACGCAACCCCCCTGTCTGCACAATTCTGCTGTCAAGCACACCGTAAATCTAGTCGAAAAAGGCTATCAAATTGTCGAGTACTCATTTTTAAACTCGAGCAGAAAACGAGCTCCATCTTATTTAATCTTGTAATGAGACTAAATATGTGCGTAGTAATGCCACGCGACAAAACTACTTGTTTCAATTGACTGCGATCGCGCCGATAAAACAGGTGAAATATTAATAATAACAGTTTTATGGATGGGCTATACGAATCAGCCAAATGGATGTTTTCGGGAAGCACAAATGAATAGAATTGCAGTTAAGTCATAAGCGTACTTTAATAAAACGAAAAGTGTGACAATGCGAGCTCACAAGTTAAAATATTACAAATAAGGAGGTACAAACGGATCGAAACGAGCGTTGATTTGATATATCAGAAGATCTGATCCCAGTCCATTATCACGAATTCAGCTGTCGTACTCATTGAAGATCTGAATAAATTTGACAATTTTCGCGCCTGAACTGCACCTAAACATTTCTAAAACTTAACCTTAACCTTTAATCCTAACCCTAACCTCCGACTGTAGTCATAACCCTTTAATCTCTTCATAGGTAACTCTTAATCCCGGTCCAAATCCTAGCCCTGACGTATAAACCTCTAGCTGAAAACCTAAGCATTACCGGAAGCTGAAGGATGACCCGAATAGTGCCGGGAAATCAGCCAACTGAATAATGCGGTGAAATTAAACCTATTTAAATGATATATACACCGTTTTTCGTGCACGGTCGACTAATCTGGACCCAGCCTGAAACAACAGCAGGCTGTCCGTGCTCGG